CCTCTGACTGTTTCAAATACACTGTACATYATGATAAATACTGTTGCAAAATATTTTAAATAAATAAAATCATGGAAATAAATTGAACATGGAACTGACAAACCTTTCACTTGAAATATAAACTGTAACACATTCAATAGAATATTGATACTGGTGTTAGTATAGGTTCTAAGTATCAGGGCATGTTGTGTATGAGTAATAATGCTGGTATCGGGACACCACTAATCTATACTGATTATGTTTTGGAGCCAACACAATTAGTCTCCACAATCAACTCATTTAGCAAAAATCTAATATGGCTATACATCAGTCAGTTTTACAGATATTGTACAGATTAAGTAATGGTAGTAGCTAAGAGTCATTCACAACAGATACACCAAGTGTAAGATCTTGGCTTAAAACATTAATGTTAAGAGACAGAGTCAACTTGTTTGTTAGCAAAATATCTTATGACAAATCTAACAGATTTTAATAAATATTTCAGAAAGTAATCATCCAAAACTGATTAATCCAATTCAAGATGGCCACCACAGCAAAAATGACTGTGATTTAGTCAAAGACTTTAGGCTAAAATTTGATGTGTTAGTAGCTGAGATGTCCTGATGCATCTCAGTAATCCAGGTAGTCTCTCCTCCAAGAGACTTCTTCAGTCTGATGAGTGTCAGGTGAACTCAGCCTTATAAGCACTGCCTCCACATGGACAAACAGGTTAGTCACATGCAAAAGAGGCCTACCAATAGGCTTGATTAGTAGTAGTAGCTGGTAGTTATTCACAGCACATAATCTGGGATAGAGCTACGGCTTCAGCATTTCTCAACATAGACGATCTTAGTTTACATCTTGGATATAAAAGGCAGTGGGTGATGTGCATTCCCTTTAAAGAATAAGCCTTATGTTTTACCCAGCAGTCCATCAGATCGAACCTTGAGTCTTTGTTAGTGTTCGTTTTGGTAGCGAAGTTTGTGCACGTCATCTGTCTGCATGGGGCCACCGACTCCCAAACCGTGACCTCGGAGCAGGAGTGGGGCATGTATATTTATACTAGAGCTCTGGGGAACATCAGGCAAGGTGGGGGGAAAAAAAGTGAAGTGAGAAAATGGAGTGGTCAGAAGAAATACGATGTGAGGACAAGAGAGGGTCAGAGAAGAAGAGGAGACAGAGGAGAAACAATGTTGGCGGCAGTCCTCAGAGGAGCGCTTAATTCAGGTTTGTGCACTGGATGACAGAAGGAAGGGCATTAAACTGAGGGGCAGAGAAAGTCACACAGAGGAGGAAGTGGAAATAATAACCACACAGAGTCATATCTGAACCAGAGGGATATAACTCACACCCAAACTGACCCCCAACTGTCACTTCTTTCCTCACGACTCRACCTCAAACGGTCCTCTTTTCCTTCCCATCTCCCTCCGAGTTGCGTCAGAACACTCCCTGAACGGGCTTTGCTTTTAACAGAATCAGCTTTCCTTTTTCTGCTGTTGCCTTTCATTTAGATAAAAGCTCCAGCACAGACACACATCCATACCAATGAGCCACGGGCGCACACGGGAGRGAATGACCGGGGAGGACAGAAATGGATCGACTTTGGAGTCCTGCCACCGAGAGAGCTGCGCCCGCCATCGTTCGCAGCCTGGTTTTTCCTCCGTGCTCCGTTGTGGTGATTCACGAGGAAAGGAGGCCGGCTAGGGAGAAATATCTCCGGATTTCTTTACAAGACACGAACACAAAGATGGCATCAAGACAATTTCACAGCTACATCTTATCTGCTGACCACAGTTTTAGGTGCACAAAAGGAAGTAGCCAGGATACCACTGGCAGCATTTTATCTGGCCTCTCTTCAAAAACCAAGACATTAATCCTCCCTGACGCACACTGCAGTGCTCCCCAGCCTGGCTTTTAGTCTCACACAGCCATTTGTGTGTCCACTTTAGAGAATAAATCAAAAACAAAGTGGGATTCTTGGTTTGGGGGACAGAGTCTGGGGAGAGAACAGTGAAGGAGTAATGGTCAATGAAGACAGCTGAAAGAGAAAGYGTGTAAACTATTCTGTACACAGATTATTGTGCTGGGAGACAGAAGAAGAAGAGGCACCACAGGATGTGCCATGGCAACAGTGATGGGTTACACATCATCTCTCATTTAGCAATGCTGGCTGAAAGCACAGAGCATCCAGAACCATCGCTGAAAGTGATGAGTCATGTGACGTGACCACATGAAAAACTTTAAAGTAATATTTGAAGTGTGGTTCTGTGGAAAAGTTATGAACAGTTAATATTTTACCTGTTGTAGATAATTTGAACAACCTCAGTCTGGGAAAACAGAATACAATTCTGACCAAACTGACAAGCTAAGGGCCAGTCTGAGCAGGGCCAAGACCAAAGTGGGTTAATCGTCTCAAAAACACTTCAGACAAAAACATTTTATGAAATGGTACGGGAAAGGATTAAGGCTACAGAGCAATAAATAAATACATAAAATTTTCTTGAGTTTTGACTTTTTTTTCAGAATTCTGACTTTAATCTCAGAATTCTTAGAATAAAGTCAGAATTCTGAGATTTATATCAAAATTCAGTAAAAAAGTCAAAACTCTGAGATTAAAGTCAGAACAAAAAAAAGAGTTATTTTTTTTCTTTGTGGCCCTAACCCTCTTCCATAAAATGGTCTTTATGGTTTGAATAAAATTAAACCGCAAAACCACCAAATAAAAGTGTTAATCCTAAAAGCACAGACATGTTTCTTATTTTCTACCTTTTGTTTGCAAGCCAAGAATTTTTATTGTATTTTATTTGGACAAAGTTAATTTTGGATATTTTATACAATGTGAGAAAGTACTGCCATAAAATTAATTTTTTTAACCAAATGTTCCAACTGTTTCCTGTTTCAAAACACATAGGCAGTTGCACGAACAGCCTCCTTTTTCTACTTTTTCTTCTGAAAATTACAATTTCCTCTTTCTCGAGAACAGTTGGCACTTTTTTTTCTTGCATCAGCTAACACCTTTTCAATTTTCTTGCAAAGAACAGACTGTCCACGTTTTATCAAAAYCCTGTCTAACCTTTCACACTAACACCATCATTCATCCTCCCTTTTCTATTTTCTTACCACACATATGTGTGTCAGGTTGCGATTGACGAAAACCCCCCTCCCCAGCCGGGGAGCAGCGCTAACAGCTAACAGTGAGACCACCTGCTGRGCAGATAAAGCAGAGTGGGGAAAGTCCATTGCAGGGGGGGTCAGTCGGACACATTGGAGTCATGGCATTCAGAAACACTTGAGGGTAAAATGAACTAATGTTCACAAAGGCCTATACTGTCCACTTGTGCGCTGGCTCAAATTCAAGTGATAAACCACAGCTCTCTGGTCAGCGGACCTCCCTGCTGTCTCAGAGTCTGCCCACCATCATCCCATTGTTTCTGGACAGGAACCGCTCCAGCAGATTGCAGGAYGATAGGTGCAGAGGCACAGTCTCGCTTCCTGTTAGCCCAAAGGCACATGGATCGGGTGTCAAACCCCTCTGCCGTCCAGAAACTCCCTCCTCCTCATCACCCACGGGGGGCAACGACCTCATGAATGCGTCTGTGTGACAGCTAACATCTGGTCATCTTGTTGCTGTACAGGCCAATACTCTGACTTGATGCAATCAGATGGAAAAAATGGTGTTTTATTGGAAGTTTTATCAAATAAGTTGCGATAAGAAAAATATGTACTTGATAGCTGAATTGGCCAAATTGCACTGTTACATAAAACAGCGTTCCTTGAAGGAATGCTTGTTGCTCACTGCAAGTATGTGTTGGAGATGACTCTCAGCTACTACCACACCAAACTTTAACTCAATATGTAATAATAATAATAATAATAAACTTTATTTATATAGCACCTTCCAACAATGCCTTGCATCGACCAAAGTGCTTCACAAGGTAAAACAAATACAATGAAGTCATAATTAATATTTACATGTGTTAGTTAAGAAGTGAGCGGCTGAGTTTTGAACAAGCTGTAAGCAAGAGATGGAAGACTGATTAATTCCAACATATAAAGTGTCGCAATAATCGAGCCTAGAGCTCACAAAGGCATGAATGGCCTTCTCCAGATCACTACGGTTAAGCAGTGTCTTCACCTTAGAACACAGATGGAGCTGAAAGAAGCTTGTTTTCACAACAGAATATGTGTAAATCTGACTGTGGTAYTTGTGCTTGCTAAGTTTGATAAGCTTTGGCAGCCATCTTGAATTTGATTGACTTCAAAAGTTAACCAGTTGTAGATTCATATCAARTGATTAMTTTCTGAAAGTTTCATTAAAATCCATCCAGYGCGTCATAAGATTACTTACTAACAGACAAACAGAATTGACCCAAACAGTTAATGCAAAAAAAGATTTAAGCAAAGATGTTGTGCAATGTGTCGTGCTTGGAGTAYGTGATGTCAGTTTATATAAGCTATTAACACATCCAATATTAGCTCGGTATTTGGAAAACTGGTTGCGTTATAGCCAATTTTGTGTTTTCAAAGTTTAGCTGACTGTAGGGGATACCTTTATTTGATATGATTTCAAAYGTTAATCAGTTCTAGAAGTACACCCAATAAATTATTTCTGAGACTTTCATTAAAATCCATTTAATGGAACCTGAGCTATTTTGTTAACAGRCAAGCTGAGTTGACTCAAATAKTTAATGAYAAAATTTGAAAAACAGATACTGCACAATCAGTTATGATTGGAGGACACTCTCAGCAATTACCTCACCAAATTTTAGCTCAACATACGTAAAMTCTACAGAGTTCAATGTATTTTTGTATTTTCTAAGTTTGCTTAGCCGAATTGGTTTGAATGCAAAAGATAAATTGTCTGTAGACGTACATTTCACGATTATTTTCAGATTGTTTCAGACAATCCGTCCAGTGGTTCACTTTGCTAAAACGGATGCACACGGACAAAGCCAAAAATATCACTTTTACTCTTTTGGCTGTGAGCGATGAAGATGCAGAAATGACTTTAAAGTACTCACTCATTTTTTTCYAGATGTAGCTGAAGCTCCTGACCCTCAGCAGAAATTAGGACCTGGACCTCTGCAGGATGCTGGCAGGAAAACATTACATGGATCAGAATTTAGATGCAATCAATCAATCAATCAATCAATCAATCAATCAATCAATCAATCAATCAATCAATCAATCAATCAATCAATCAATCAATCAATCATCAATCAATCAATCAATCAATCAATCATCAATCAATCAATCAATCAATCAATCAATCAATCAATCAATCAATCAATCAATAATTGCATTAAATTAAATCTCTTTATTTTTGTCTTAGTCACACTCACCTCTTTATTAGCAGATCTTTTGTGCCTGAGTGGATGCAGCCAGATGGGATCAGTAATCTCATAACTCTGTATGTGTTCAAGGATRCTCTTTGGTGAATCCTGCTTGTTGTTTCCTGTTTGGAAAGCCAAATAAATATAATGCAATGTTCTCATGTAATATTCTAAACAAATTCAAAATCCTTAGATGATGGCAGATGAAATACTTAAGACATGCATTTCAATGCAAAACGAAAAGCATGCAAGTGCAAGTTTCTGCTCCCACCGTTAAAAACACCGGCTTCAGACCCAGCAGCAGCAGCAGCAGTGGAAACAACCCGGTGCACGAGAACCAGAGGACAAAGAAAAGACAAAACAGCACCGACAGGAGGACGACACATTCTACAAACAAATGGACCCGAACGGAGCGATGAAACCGAGAGATGAGCGGTCAGAAACCAGCCTGGATGAGATGGGGAGCCYGTGGCCGGTGTGTCATGGCGGTAAGCCGCGGGTGAATGAGATGCTGCCTCCGCCGAGCGGTGCTGTTATGATCGACCCCTCCCCGATCAGCCACGGAGCTGAGGACTCTCTCTGTGCCAGGATGTGATGAAAGGATGTTCAGATGAGCAACAACAGATACTGAAATCACCCAGTGAAGAGGACTTATTTTTAGACAMGAAAGCACCAAACTCATATCGGACTAACTATATGGAGGATTAGGTCCACAGAGAGAAAATAAAAGAAGGAGGAAAAAAGTCAAAATTATGTGATTGTCAAAATAATGATTTTTTTTTCAATTATGAAAAAAATAAAGTCAAAATTCTTACTATAAAGTCAGAATTCTCAGCAAAGAAAGCACATCCAGAAAACAAGAAATCTCTGTGGTCTTCCAAGAATAAATATCTATAAAAAATAAATTAATTAAATGAAGATGTTAACATCACTGCAGTTTCTATTCCTAGTTTTATAGATTGGAGGTAATAAGAGCCTAATAAGTTGCTTGATAAGTTAAGTTTTTGACGCTATAGGGAACTGCTGCCTTTTAAAATCAAGGTAGCAACATTTAATTTGCATTATGAAACATTGACTCCGCCTACTTTTGGGCTCTCCCCCAAAAAAGCCAGCTGCACATTTATTGCAAGGAAAATGTTTTTTTTTTTAAATAAGTCACACTTCATTTTAAGCCTGTTTTAGGTAGGCAACTAAGACAAATGATAAAAAGGTTTTGTTAAAACAAAAGTAAAGCATGASTCTATGAAGTTTAAAATCAATATTCACTTTTCACAGAGCTGACACAAATTGCATCAGTAAATTTATATTCTTATAAATTTTATACTCCTGTTATTGCTGTTACTTATTGATGTGCAAAATAAATTGATAAAGTAATTTCACTTGCTGCATTCGTTTAGATTTTTCTAGCTTTAAACAGCAACTCCAAAAGAATCAGTTGTTATTTATTAATAGACATTGATTCTTTTAAAATTTGCCAWCTTCAAGTTTATTGAAAGAAAAACAGTGCAAAGTGCAAGCATGTGAATGGAGTTTGCATTTTAACAGCTATTTATTTCGTCGGAACAGAATAAAGTATTGAAATGTGCACTATTCAAATGCAAAACTTCATTTTATTATACTCCCATTCTTACAGTGGTCCAACAGGCTTTGGTATAGTATGTGTAAATACATGCCATCTTTAAATAACTGCACTAGCCTKAACATGCTCTCATTCAGGGTTTCCTTCGGTTCAGCCAAATGATCTGTCATTTTCKGCTCAATGTGTGAGTACCCCAAGCAAATGGATTAACACAGTGTCTCATTAAAACAAACTTTATTTTGTTGTATTTAGTTTCCAAATGTTGCACTAGGAAGTGCAAGTCTTGTTCCATGAAGTACAGTAACCACATGCTTTTAACTCCCAGAACCAAAAATACAGCCGCAACACTTGACAGTAACTGAGCCTGCTAGAAACAGAATACAGTATCCGGCTTCCAGCAGCCGTTCACACTGAGCCAGACATTTATAAGAGCGACGATAAATATGCCACAGAGCACATGTTAGAAGGGTCAAGTGTACGCAGGGTGTGTGAGGTATTCTTAGTGGCGATGACAGTGCAGACCAATGAATCCATTCATGGTGCCTCAGCTGCAGGAAATAAACCCACCATTTATTTTGGTTTAGCTTTGATAGTTTCTACCTAAAACCTTCTACATACCATGAATGTTAAACACTTTACCTTCCCAACATCACAACTCAGTCAGGCAAAAAAAAAACAACATTTGAAACTCCTCAGTGGGTCAAGAGGACACATGCTCAACGATCAAATGTTGGTAGTATTTTAAATGCCATTCATGATATCAGATGAAGATTTATTTTTGGATAAGTAGTATTAAGAGCTTAAACTGGACAAGACACAAGATGCAGATGAACATCTCCATGGAAAACCTTTCCACTTCAACAAATCAGTATAAAAATATTCAATGAAAGTAAAATCATGTTTCAAATCCAAAGAATAAAATAAAATAAAATAAAAAATAAAATAAATTGCATCTATCAAGTATCATTGCTATAATATGGTAACACAGAGTCATATCAAACTATTTATAAAATACAGCTCCAAACACGCTGCTGAGAAGAACTCCTACGTGTTCCCTTTCATGAGGTGGGTAGCTGTTAGCAGTTATCATTCTCAAGGATGTCTGAGTGTTCATCCCAGAACTGGTCCCCAATAATGTCACAGTGATGAGCCTCCACACTCTTCYTGCTCCGTGTGACAGAAACCTCCTTCTCCTCTTCATTTGGAAGCTTCATGCGTTTTGTGACTGTCTCATCCCGCTTAATAAAACAAAGAGAAACATGTCAAATACACAGGAATGCAACTTAATGAAAAAAAAAAAAACTGGTACAGGAATAAAACTATTTTAATCAACTTAAGAACAATGGGTCTTGGTGTACGTTAACGCGATGTTCCAAAAGCTCTTTRATAAAAGTTTACTAAATGCATAAACGACAAGTTACTTAAAGGGGCAATATCATGTAAAATCAACTTTTTTGAGTTTTATATCATGTTATAATGTTATACTCTCATAAAAAACATGCCCAAAGCCTTGCTTTGACT